TTTTTTTTTTTTTTTTTTTTTTTTTTTTTTTTTTTTTTTTTTTTTTTTTTTTTTTTTTTTTTTTTCTTTTCTTCTCTTCCCGTTTCTCCGTTCTCAATTACAATTACATCTGCTTTGAAGATAACCGGTGGAACTAACTGGCGGTTACGTTAAGTTCACGCTCGAAGTAAGTTCCTTCGAACAAATTCTCTGGTTTTGTCGTAGAAGGTTGAAAACTGAGGCAGGTCTAGCATACAACTCAAACCGCAAAACTAGGTATGTGAAATGTGTAACTCTGTTACATACAGCTTACTGTTACCATCAATTTTAGTCAGTTGTGAATGTCGGTTTTATGCATGCAGGAAATTAAATCCCTACAAAGCATGCAGCACGGAAGAAATCAATTACCTGTGAAAAGGGAGAGAAAGTTTTTTTTTTTTTTTTTTTTAGTATTAACGAATCGATATGCCAGTATCTTGATGGTATAACCGTCCTTAAGCTTTAATCGCAGTTTGTTTCTGCTAAACGGAAGACCTAACAGCGATATAAAGCCATTGTGCTGCTACCGACTGCCATTCACTTGTCATTTAATTCTGTAGTCCTTTGCCTATTGCAGCAGTTTCTCTGTCGATAGTCATCTATGATATTCCTCGATCGTTTCGACTGTTTCGGTTAGCGATTATACCACGGCATTCCACGAATTATTAAAATAAGGAAAGGATAAGAGATAATGAAATTTTAATTGCAATGCGAAAGCCTAAAAAACGCTATAAAAAGGAACTTAGCCAACAAGAGCGTTTGTATACTGTAATTTAATAAACTAAACCTATCAAAAACTCCGGGACGCGCCGACGCGAGTTATACTGTAATTTCGTAAAATTTCTTAAAATTTCGTCAATATGCCCTCTTGTTAAAAGAAAAAAAAAGTCCATGGCCAAAAATTTAGAATTGGTTCTTGAACAAAGATTTACCTCATTCTGACTGCAGAGTCTCCTATTAGAGAGCTCATTTCGTATGTTACTTCGTTACGATATGCTTAAAGTGATCTTTATTTAAGGATTGTGTAACTTGGCTTTCATGTCGTAATATTTAGGAATAGTTACCATACAGTATCTCTTCCCAATAAGAGGTCAAGAGATTGAGAGGGAATAAGTTCCTTCTGATAATTTTATTATTGACTTACAAGACAATACATGGCTTGGCACCGAAGTACCTACAAGATCTCCTTAAGGCTTTGACCAAGTTAGGTGTAAACGATCAGTAGGCCAAAAAATTTACTGACCACTCGAAAATATGCAGTAGAGAGCTGCGGATGAAGAGCTGTGTCTGTTCCTGCCCCAATATTGTGGAACACTTTTCCAGATAAGATCAGACATGCAAAATCGCTGGACTCTTTGAAATCTCCTTTAAAAACCCATCTTTTTCAACAGGTGTTTTATGTAAGAATTAGTATGTACAATTATCTTGTCGTTCTGATATCGAATTTTTAGATATTTTGTTTATCTTTCTTCTAACGTTTTGTAACACGCCATCACCCTTTTTTGGCGCTATATATTAAGTGTTATTTTAATCATAATCTCCCGTGATGGTAATAAGACCACCAAAATGCCTCAAAGTATCACGAATTGTGCATTCTTCATCCACACAGGTGATTCAGTTGATTTATTTTGCGATGTTTGGAATGCCAATACCCGGCCTTTGAACGAGACCAAAGTCACCCATTGACAGATTCACGAGACCAGTTAGATCAATAATTTCAGGAGGGGCAGCGTTGCCGCAGCTAAAAAACGCTTAGTGTTCGGTTCGGACCTCAAGTCATACGTAGATGTGCTTTGTTGTTGGCGCTGTCGCTTTGAAATGAAGGGTTTTCTCAGGGTGCTCCGGCTTACCTCACTACTGAAAAGAATTCAAACTCCCAGTTCGATCAGAAGATACCCAAACAAGATACAGGTGATGAACCGTCAGTATCTGCCTTGTGTACACCAAATCGCGCACTGTCGCTGCAACATGTCTGCTGTTCACACAAAGGGGCTTGTTCCCGTTTTACTGCCGTCCTTGCAACATGTTCCCAAGTGTTTACCGGGCTTAAGGCCTCGTCCACACTACGCTGGAGAAATTTGGCAGCTTTTTTTTCCACAGTCTGGCCTACCGTCCACACTAATCCGTCATGAAAACGCTCTTCAGGCCGGAGGAATTTGAAAACACTGGCTTTGTGTTTTAGTGTGCACGAAAAACAGTTTGAAAACGGAGCTTTCCGAAAACGATGGTGTCTTAATAATCACGTGATCAACCCCAACTTTCAAGAGAGCAGTCAAGCTTTTCTACCGCTGGTTTACCGTTATTGTTTCTCAGGCGTAGTGTGGACGGAAAACATCTAATGCGTTTTCAGAGTAAAAGCGCCGTTTTCAAATGTCTCCGGCGTAGTGTGGACGAGGTCTCAGCATCATACACAGGCTCAATGTTAAGGTGCTGTTGAGTAGCGCTGTTGAGTAGCGCCTAGGGGAAATTTCTATAAAAAGAAGCTGATTATTTATATCTTGCCGTGTCTGGGCATGTTGCTATTCTAGGACAAAAAAAAAAACACCCTTAGGTTGCCTGACAGCAATTTCAAGCACTTTCTCCAGCAGTTCTATACTTGAACAGTACAAGAATGCCCAATCATTTGGTTTACAAGTTGTGGTCATTTTCATGTCATAATTAGGCTATTCATAGTAAGTACAGCCTTGCAAAGTTTTAAAAATTCTGTAGGGTGGGTTCATGGCCATTTCAAATTTTTGAAAATTTGTATCGCCATTTTCCGGAGCTCGAAAACAACTTGAATTCATTCCAGCTTGCCTTTCGGACAAGTAGCTCTCAAATTTTGCTTGCCCTGAGCAAATCATGCTTTGTTCTGTTTTGATGTAGTTGGCTGAAAACATGTCTGAGCCCCCGCCCACTGAGCAAGTGGGAATGAAAAGTTACTTGCCTTGCAGGAAGATCTACTTGTCCCGGACAATCCTATTAATTAATCTTCACCTAGCTATCAAGAACTTGTTTTCGCGGGCTACAAACGCCATTTTTAAGAACTTGAACTCTTATAGTTTTCAGTGACGACTGCAACAACATTTCTCCCGCCAAAATGCCGTCATGTGTTTTCGTGAACACTGTTCGCTAGTGGCAAATCTCGTACCCGTGTTTTTAGAAATCCGGAGTACTGGGATCAAAAGGTACACCACGTTATAAACAGGACGGCCGCTATTGACACTGCCCAAGGCCAGGCACCTGCACTGTACAAAACAAGGAGACGATAACTCAGCTTGGCAGACGTTTCCTGTAATATTCTGCTGCAACAACAATGACGTGTTTTACATCCCTGTAGTCTTACCAAAGGATTTGGTTGTACATTGTAAAATTTGGGTTTTCACTCTTTCAAATCCGCTCTAGCTCGTCGTCTGATAAAGGAAAGGCATCACTCTCTATGACGTGAGTATTCAGTTGTCTTCTTCTCGCTAATAAGCGACACTCCTTCACTTTCATGAAGCCCAATGGCGAACTAAGGTTGAGACTTGGAGAAGGGGAGTATTGACTGCCCAATGCGAAAAGGAAAATCGAAATCATGCAAGGTCTGTTGCGCTGATGGGAGAAATCATTCGAAATATTCTCCCGTTGATATCAAAGTACGATTATGGGAAACCGCACAATGAGATAAAAACAGAAGTGGAAAAGCGATTTTGAAGTGTAACACTGTTTCAGTACCTCTGAAAAATGCTCCCACTTCGACCTTTCCAGCTAAACCTCCGCAACTGCTATGTAAGCCATCCCTCTAATAGTGATCTTAGTCAGTAGATGTAAAATTTTTCAAACCTTTTGAGCTAAAAAGGGTATTTTGTTTATGCTTTTATCCCTGACGTTATTCCATTCATTCGATCATTTCCAAAGACAAACGTCGAGTAAAACAATGTGTTTTTCCTTTACTCTCAAGTGTGATGATCAATCTCTACAGGGCCGTAGTCAGAAAAAAAGTTATGACTGAGGTAATGCCCATAACAAAATTATGACTGAGGCATTGTCCCTGACAAAATTATGACTGAGGCAACGTCCATGGAAAAATTATGACTGAGGCAATGTCCCTGACAAAATTATGACTGAGGCAAAATCCATGGAAAAATTATGACTAAGGCAATGTCCATGGGAAAATTATGACTGAGGCAATGTCCATGGAAAAATTATGATTGGGGCAATGTCCCTGACAAAATTATGACTGAGGCAATGTCCATGGAAAAATTATGACTAAGGCAATGTCCATGAGGAAATTATGACTTAGGCAACGTCCATGAAGAAATTATGACTGGGGCAACGTCCATGACAAAATTATGACTGAGGCAATGTCCATGACAAAATTATGACTGAGACAATGTCCATGACAAAATTATGACTGAGGCAATGTTCATGACAAAATTATGACTGAGGCAATGTCCATGACAAAATTATGACTGAGGCAATGTCCATGACAAAATTATGACTGAGGCAATGTCCAGGACAAAATTATGTCTGAGGCAATGTCCTTGACAAAATTATGACTGAGGCAATGTCCATGACAAAATTATGACTGAGGCAATGTCCATGGAAAAATTATGACTGAGGCAATGTCTATGAAGAAATTATGACTGGGGCAACGTCCATGACAAAATTATGAATGAGGCAAAGTCCCTGATAAAATTATGACTGAGGCAACCTCCATGGTTTAATTCTCTTCCTTGGTATTAAGGGTGTTTGTGATGACTATGAACGCCAAAAGCGAAAAACAATAACTGAGGCCTGTTACTAGCTACTGCCCTGCTCTAATGTGGTCACCAAGTTTGAACTGAGGATTGAAATCAAATTTCCAAACATGAACTTCACCATGTGGCTTTTAAGAAGAATATTTGACGGGAACTGTTCAGAAATACAGAAAGAGCGTGCATGCGAGCTCCAGTTCTCTCACGGTGGGCTAGGTTAGTCGCTCGCAAAAGCTAGTGCGCATGTCACTGAAATGTTCTGATCATCGAAACCAACAACCTTTTGGTGTCGAAGAAGCTAAACTGCTGTTACGTCTACGTCAGTGTTAGAGGCGAAAAGTGTGAAGTTCTATCTCTTGCGATCGCGTTCGCTTAGACCAGCTCAGTTAGGTAATTGTTGTACGTACTCTGTAGGACCGGCGTCGTGGGATAGTATCTTTTTACGGCTTCTAGTTAGCAACAGGTCTTGGCGATGCAATCGTGCAACGAAGCGTTACCTGAGCAATCAAGCTGCAATGGTTCAAACCTGCATGGCCGTCATCCGTGCAGAAAATACTGAAATCTTAGTTCTCTTAGTCAGGAGGTTTTTTGTGCAGTTTTACGTTTGTTAACCCGAAAGTAAACGGTTCGCTTTGCGGACCGAAGAACACTCTTAATGAGTGCCAACCCCAACAGCCTTTGTGAATCTTACGTAACTAACGAAGCTCGTTTTGTAAGCCTCCAACAAAGGGTTTAGCAATGATGATTTTTAAAACAGGTTAAAATATGTCTACTCTTGAGTAAGCGAGGTCTGTTTTAGTAACAGCACAAAGATCCACTTTGCTAAGATCGTTTCGTTTTGTCCTTGTGAGGTGCTGAGTGTATGTTTTTCTTTCATCTCTCGTTAGGTTGGCCGATATGCAGTTTTCAATGAAACTGTTCGTTTCCTTGGTCCTTCCAGCTGCCATCACGATCATCGTAAGCTTTCTGTGGATGAAGAAGAGGAGCAAAGAAGCCGAAGATCTGGACGAGATTGAAGGGGATGGAAATGTAAACAGCGAGGACGGTAGAAAAAGAAATGCAGAGGACCACAGTGTTATAGAGAAGGAGATCAGTGAAGATAGGGAGGAGACTCTGGAAGCAGAAGCTTCGGATGGGCATCGATACCCGCTGGAGAAGCAGCCAAGTACAACAGAAAGCGTTCAGCAAGCGGATTCTGGAATAGGGACAAAGCCATCGACGAGTTCGGAACTCAAAGATTTGTCAGGAGGTGAAGAGTCGACCAGCGAGGGCAGTGTCGATAGCAGCACTTTGCTGAGCTTTACGGAAGGTTTTAACAATGGCACTCCACCTCTTGGTGAAGACAACGTGAAGTCCCGAAAAGGTTCGCAAAACGGAGACAAAGACGTGTGGGAAATTGAGTTCCCTCAGATCTTGTGCGGAAGGTTGATAGGGCGGAAGGGAAAAAATGTGCGTGTCATTTCTGAGAAATCCGGTGCTAAAATTCGATTGATTCCGCAGTCGCCGGGTGAGGTTTCTACTCATAGGATCATTTCAGTGACAGGAAGTTCTTCGCAGATTAAAAGCGCGCTGGATTCTATTCACGAAAAGTTTCCATGCGTCCCTTTGACACGGTTGAACTCGCCTCTGAATGGCGTACCAGCAAACGCTTGCGTGCAACCGATGCTCAGTCCTGCAACTGCTGCAATGCCTCACCAGGCGTTGCCTTTCGTTCAAGCCATGCTCCCAAGCGTTGCAAACTTCGACGTTGTGGTTACGAGTGTTACGGATGCCGGCCACTTCTTTGTTCAGCTGCATAACGATTTCATGCAACGGCAGCTCCAAGATCTTCATCAGAACATGTTGCAGTGTTACGGACAGGGAACAGCGCCTCTTATTCTTCCTTTACCGCAGCCTATTGTGGTAGGTTCGTGTTGTGCAGCGCCAGCATACACGTACAATGGCTGGTACAGAGCTCAGGTACTTGGGCCGACTGCTAATCCGGACGAAGTAGAGGTAAAATATTTGGATTACGGGGGATATGGCCGCATAGCTGCGTCGAGTCTTCGACAGTTGAGGTGAGAGTAATTCAGTGTTAAACTAATTCTTCTCGACACTTGTTCATCTTCAGAGAAGTGTATTGTAAATCATGTTCGTGGCATGCGTGGTTTTGTTTCGTTTTTATCTTTTCTTTTGCCCATTCGAGATGAAGACAATTTGCTTAGCCATATCATGCATGTTGGATTGTGCAGTGACGCATTTCGTCTAGAACGGAAAAAACAAATTTAGAAGTGCACTGTTAAATGTTGTTTGTCTCTTAGGTGGGACTGCGTTCTCGAAGTTGAAATTTAGGCTTTTCTAAATGCAGTTATATCCCACCTTACACGATATTAGCAGCAGCTCTTTTTGAGACACTCGCTTTGAGAAAATTACTTGCCATTTTACTGTTTTGCCATCACAGGTGTTTGCGTTTTCTGTCAAAGACATGTTATTACTTATGTTTTGTACGCTTTTTATATGAGAACGCTTATTTCTGTCTGGCGTAAATTAACATTTGGATTTGAAGTTAACTTGTACAGGTTTAATTGCAACAAAGATTGTGCCTTTTATATACATATACTTTTTTTTCCTTTGGTGTTAAAAATTCAGTCTCCTTTGCTATCCGTTAGGTCTGCGCTGTTTAGTTGATGCCGTGAATAATCGATCGCAATTCAGTTGTGAGCCCTAAATTGAATGTTATTTCAATCAAGAGCGTAAAAGGAACAGCTTAGAACTGCGTACAAGTTGGCAACTTCATTACCATGCATTGCTGTAGATAGCGGTGGCATTTTATCGACTCGCCGTTTTCGACAACAACTCGGAGCGCTGAATTCGTTTCGATTCCATCGAATGTGAAACAATACGCTATGCTGCCCTTCAACACCTCGTCACTGTTATTTCAATTTAAGTGAACTCTGATCTCAGTTCCGCTAAGTTATGGTGTAAAGGTAGTGTTTGATACTGAATGTTGAAGACTCGCCAAGTAAATATAATTATGCCTTGGTGAGATATATCTTGCCAGGTATAAATAAAACTTTGATGTTTTAATTGGGGAAAAATGCCTGCAACTTAACACTAGTCCTTGCTAAGTAACGTATCTTTTGTAGACTTTTTTTTTACATCTGTGTTTAGTCGCCAACGCGCAAATGGAACCGAAACGAATTGTTTTATTTCTGAAAAACGGTTTGCGCGGAAGACACAAGTTGTTCGCGTCAAACACAGTGAAACCTGCCACGTCTAATAGATTCAAAATCCAAAGGACAGTGTGCCTGATCTATTAAATGCTACAGTTTGTTAAAGAGCAACTGGCAAAACATTACCCTTTTTTTTCTCTCCATCTGCGGAACAGGTTTGGTAAAAGGAAGATTTGCGTGAGAGCGATTGATATTCAAAATTTGTTAAACGCTAGTCTGAATATTTAATATGTTGTAGATAGCTACTGTGGCAAATACTATCTTCAGAGAATATTAGTTAACATGGCATGAGTTGTTTAGATGAACGAATAAAACCAGCGCGAGTACAAACGGGGAGAAAGAAAACGAAGAAAGAAAATTTGATGTTTCACCGCATCGCCGAAGAAACGTAAAGGAGTTAATGTTTTAGAACTTCCACAAACCATTAAATCAGTTTTCGGTTTCCTTCTGTATAAATAAGGAACTTGCCGGTTTGTATAACAGGAAGACGATAGTGGAAGTCGCTTATTCCGTGCTTTGAAACGCGACAATTTGAAGTGACTTGTTTTTCTTACAGTACCGCGCAACTCGTAATAGAAATTTAATGATCTGGTCAAGTTCAGCGGAGGCGGATGTACTTCAAATTCTCTTTGTTTGTCGTGTGCGTGCTTTTTTTTTTGGGGGGGGTTTTCGTTCTCTATAGGCGGAAATTTCGGTGTATTTAGACCCTGTAAATGGACAAAAAATTTTGTTCTGTACAACATGAAAATAGCAATATATTACAAACAGGAATTTTAAGAAGGAATCCACCAGAAGTTCGAGTAACAAGTGGACCGAGATTATTTACATCGTATTTAACATCCTTGTCCAGAGAGGATTCTTTGGTTCCTTTGATGCTCCATGATCCGAGTGACCTTGGATTAATCTGTTTAGTAAAGAAACGCAAAATCTGTTTTTGGTTTTAAGAATCCAATCTTGGACTTTTCCAAAGAAACGCACCCAAATATTTGATTTAATTTTGTATTTTTTTTTCTCAGAGCTGACTTTTTGACGCTGCCTTTTCAAGCAATCGAATGTTACCTTGCGAATGTGATTCCACTACAAGGTACTGTGTTTAGTAGTCACGGATACTCCATGATTTGAGCTAGCTAGGTGTTAGCATAAAAAACATTAAGTCCTTAGTCGCGTAACTGCAACATGAGAATTCGTTCTTATTCTTATTTTTATGACGGGTTAGTAGAGAGACGGGATGGCCTCCGTGGTTGGGCCTTAGTGGACTGGAGCGCTGGCTGGAGTCATTGTAAAGCTCCGTCCTCGCTACGACGGAGAAACTTGAAAACGCAACTTTATTTCTACAGTTTAGCCTACCATCCACACTAATCCGTCACGAGAACGGAGCTTTTTGTAAACGCTCTTCAAACCGAAGGAATTTGAAAACGCCGGCTTTGCGTTTTAGTGTGGACGGAAAACATTTTGAAAACGGAGCTTTTCGGAAACGATGACGTCACGCTAATCATGTGATTACCCTGCCGAGTTTTCCTCAAACACAAATCCAAAATGACCGGTGTTTATTGCGTTTTCAAATTTCTCCGGCGTAGTGTTGAAGGAAAACATTTGATACATTTTCAGGGTGGAAACGCCGTCTTCAAATTTCTCCGGCGTATTATGGACGGGGGCCAAGGAAAACACTTTCTTTCCACAGTGGCTCTCTCTTCCCTGGAATATAAATAACTACCAGTGCTCTCTTATGAAAGCTTGCACAAATGTTGGGGTCTAACCTGCTCCAGCTTAGCGTTCCATCAAGGGAGACTAGAAAATGATTAATAGTGGTTTGACGCCCCAAACACTATAATTAGCTCCGCCATTTTCGACCAGGTTGCCCAAGTGTGACATGTCGAGTTTTCAGAAATGTGGACATGAACAACAAGGCACAGGCGTTAAATCACGATAAAGACAACAGGTCCAAGTGTGCATATGCACTCACTCGTATGTTAAATGCTATCGTTCTTAGTTTTAGCTCGATATGTTTGTTGCTTATGCCGTTTGTCACATTTGACCCGCGTTCTGTCGCTCGCTATCTTGTTGACCTTGTTCGGTCGGTCGTATTTTGCTCGTTCATTCTTTTACTCGTTCGTTGGCGCGCTTGCTCTTACATTCAGTCGTCGGTTTTTTCATTCATCCAGCCATCTCAGTATCCGTTTACTTTTTTGCTGTTTCAGGAGACACATTTTCAAGTGTGGCTAATGCTGTGTTGGAAGACTTGACAATGAATGCTCTGTTGACCGCTCGTGTTATCGGTCACAGAAGCGGCTTGCCGTGTCTAGAGCTTTATCTCGTACAAGGCCAGCAGGTAAGTCAGCGTGATTATTTCATTTCGTTCACGGATTTATTTGGACTGTGTAACGTTTTTCCAACATGGAGGACCAGAATCCAGAATATAAGTTCCTCATAGTTGGATCAGGCTTATCAACAATAAGCATTACAAAATAAAAGTTTAAAAACGATCTCTGGCTAAAAATGTTTATAGATATACGAGCTTTGGGCTATTAGATCTACAGTCTTCGACGGGTAAAGACGAATGACAAAATATGAATATAAATGAGTAAAAATAAAAAGAATGGACTATGCAAATTAAATATGAATGTGTGTAAAAAGAATGTTGTATTGCCCAGGGAGTGGACAGGAATTGTTGACAGCATTTGGAGTCACCATAGTATGCCACGATTCTAATGTTTTCCTTATTCGGAAACTGCCTTTGTCAATTAAGGAGGCGTTGTTTAAGTCAATAGACTGCTCATGGGACCACGCATGGTTCACAATTTTGGAGCCTTTAGCAGCTGTTTTGATATTTCTTGTGTTCTTTTCTTCGCGTGTTAATCGCTCTGCCAGTTTCACCGATATAACACCATGAACAGTCGGCGCAAGGAATTTTGTAAACAACGTTGGTTTGTGAATCCGGAGCAGAACGAAATTTCGGGGCCGNAAACAACGCCTCCTTAATTGACAAAGGCAGTTTCCGAATAAGGAAAACATTAGAATCGTGGCATACTATGGTGACTCCAAATGCTGTCAACAATTCCTGTCCACTCCCTGGGCAATACAACATTCTTTTTACACACATTCATAATTAATTTACATAGTCCATTCTTTTTATTTTTACTCATATATATTCATATTTCGTCATTCATCTTTACCCGTCGAAGACTGTAGATCTAACAGTCGAAAGCTCGTATATCTATAAACATTTTTAGCCAGATATCGTTTTTAAATTTTTATTATGCTCAACCCTGGCTACGGTCCTTCAATATTTTTACATAAATAAGCATTACCTTGGCAAGTTCGAGCGGCTTCCCTTCTAGTGTTGTAAAGCCAAAACCAAAGCAATTACAATGGCCAATCTCTCACACACAAAGGCCACAAACCACGCGATGAAGTGATGAGAAATCGAATCAAATACACAGAACCAACAAAAACGCGAGAAAATGCGCGTGACAAAGTCGGGATTATTTTGGGTGTTTTGATTGACCGACCGACTGACTGACTGATTGTCTGTCTCACTGTCTGTCTGTGTCACTGACTGTCTGACTGTCTATCTGTCTGACTGATTGAATGACTGTCTGTCTCACTGTTTGTTTGTCTGTCTGTCTGTTTCACTAACTGTCTGACGGACTGACTGACTTTCTATCTGTCTCACTGATTGACTGTCTGTCTGTTTGTCTCACTGTCTGTCTGTCTCCCTGACTGTCCGACTGTCTATCTGCCCAACTGAGTGACTGATTGACTGACTAACTGATTGCCTTTGTTTTGCAGACAATCCTGATTAACAGAGAACTAGTGAACCGCGGCTTGGCTCGCTGGGCAGAAACTTGACGACAGCACGAGTTGTATCACGTTTATCCTGGCCAAATGGAGCCGTAGAAAATTGCTTGTTCAACGATTTTCTGAACAAAGGAGGAATCAAGCAGACAAAGCTGGTTGATAAGTGTATTTCTAATTTGGTATGAAATAGGAAGATGAAATTAGCGAAAGGAAACTTTGGAAAGTAATTTAATTCATATGCGGATGGAGAGATGGAATCGCCAAAGGCTTGATTACTTGAAAGAAATCGCTAAAATTTTCTTTGGTCGATGGCTTAATTTTTTGTCAAGTTGAGAGCGTGTATGATATTGTGAATATGCTATATTTGTCTTCAAAGTGAAGAAGTTTGTGTGTATATGACAAAGTTGTTGCTTTATAAGTTCTTTCGTAACGAAAGGCTACCTCCATATGACGTAATTGAAAACAATGAGGTACACATCAGTTGAAAAGGCCAAAGGCCAAGAAAATTATTTTCCCCAGAATGTTACCTAGTCAAAGTAAGCTATTTACCATTTTGCGATCGAATTATATATGATTATAACGGGCCATTTTGAATTGAGAGAACAAAATAATTTACATTTAAGACATTGTAGAGTATTTTATTAGAAGAAATGACAATGATATTTTAGCCCAAATGAAATTCAGCAATGTTATCAAAGGCTTGAGACACAAATGTTCAGGTACAATAATATATAAAAGCAAAACATTCTGTTTCATTCCCAGACCTGTTTCTGATGGCATGTATGCTTAAATAAATATCGTATTACATTATAGAGGAAAACGGTTAAATATTAAACAACGTTAAAAAAGAAAGCTAACAACTCGCACCTGGTATTTTAAAATATGACCAGAATATTCATTTCTAGAATGCTACAGTGATGTCATGGAATTTGAGATCATTTGTCACACCTTTTTATTACCTCTGTGTTGGTTTCCTATTCTTCTCAACCAATCAGAGCCAATAATAAATTTTTGACAACTTTTTTACCTCTGTGTTGGTCGGCCAATGTTCTCAGCCAATCACAGAGCCCTCTTTTTCACGTCTTTTTTTCTTAAGGGGGAAGGGGGGGTTCAAATCTCAGTTTTCAGCCAACCACAGAGCCAGTAATTATTTCGGCCAATGTTGTCAGCCAATCAAAGGGCCTAGCTTTTTGACGTCATTTTCTTGTTGGTTTTCAAATGTTTTTAACCAGTCACAGAGCCAGTAATAATTTTTGGACAGCTTTTTGACGTGTGACGGCTTTCCAATCTTCTCAAGCAGCCAGTAATGTAAATTTTTGACAGCATTTTGACTGGTTTTCTTATCTTTTCAGCCAATCACGAACCAAATAGTATAATTTTTTGACAGTGTTTTGACGTCGTTGTATTGGTTTCCCAATCTTTTCAATCACAGGCTAAAAAGTATCATTTTTGGCAGCCGTTTGGGGTCTCTGCGTTAGGTAGTTTTCCAATTTTCTCTGGCCAATTAGAGCCAGTGATGAAATGTTTTGGAAGCTTTTTGATGTCTAGAAACTAGGGAAATTGCTGTGTTGATCACGGTAATGACTCACTGTTAGACTGTATCATTTAGCCTGCATTTAGGACACCTCCTTTAGTTACTCAAAGTTCATTGTAGCAACAACACTAACGCCGACGCCGACGCCGACGCCGACGACCATGCGGTTCAAAACTAAATTTATTTTTACTGAAGATTCTTGCTATTACGTCGTCGATCCCAGCGGCTGAATAGCAGATTGGGATCAAATCTAAATTTTAAATAAAAGCATTTTTTCAATCTAGTTTTTAAAGGAGCTGCGTCACATAAATTCAAAAACGTACATTTGAGTAACTTTCATTGACGTACAAAGTTACGTTCAAATTAAGGAAAACTTCGAAATAGAAGGCTTTAAAAACCACTTTAAGAGTTTCAATGTTGTTTTTTTTTTAGTTGTTGCTGTTCTTGTTTCTTTGCTGTTTTTGTTATTTCGCTTTTTTTCACTTGTTTGGACTAAGTCACAGTCACCCAAATTAATAAAAGTAATGTTAATAATGATGGTTAATTGTTGTGATTGAGACAAATACCAAATGACAAACTTCAAAAATAATTGGAGAGATTATTTTAAGATACGCGGTCCGTGACACAGCTCCTTCAAACGATCTAAAAGAATCGTAGATATCTTAGACTTACGCCAGTTACTTTCGTCATTCAGGGCAAAACCGCCCTAAAACACTCGATCTCGCTTACTGCCAAGTGCAAACCATTGTGTACTCTCAGCCCCTGAGTCGATGACTTGAAAAAATTGGACATTTTTCAAGATGTTCCGTGTTTGACGTAGCTTCTTTAACAGTGCAGCATGCTAAACGACGTTTTTAAATGGTTTAAATGAAAGAAGTTCAAATAACTTTGTATCGAATTTTTACTTCTTTGATTTGTTGTTGTTGTTGTTGCTGTTTTGTTTTAGATTTTTAATTTTTTTTTTTCGTTTATTAATTGCAACCATTTTCATCTGTTTTAATTACAGTCTCAATTAGCCAAATTATAAATTAATAAAGGATGTTTAAATATTGGTTAAATATATTTCAAATTGTTGTTAGCAAGTTATTTATATACAATTATAGTAATATTTAATTTGAGTTAAATTAAATTTTTTCCAATCTGGATATAGCTTCAAGTGAAACTGCAGGGCAGTTAGAAATATGCAATTTACCACAACCAACATCTACATTTCAGTAACATGGATCTCCCTGTGTTGCAGGCGACGTACATGTAAAGTTTAGTTAATTAGCAACTTGAAAAAAGAACTGTAGGACAACTAGAAATACGTAATAAACTACTCAAATACCTAGATCATCTTTTCATATGGGAGTTCCCTTCTCCCAAGTTTAGTTGATGAGTAACTCGGGAAAGAAAAACACTCTTAAAACATGTAAGGCATCTACTCTAGGAATACTGAATGAATAAACTACTCAAACACCAATATCTATCGTCTGAAACTTTCTTATTTTTATAAGTTCCGTCCCGTCCCGTCGGGATCACCATCTTGTTGTGGTGGGGTGGCTTGCGTTTTTCAATGACCCCTAGAACTATGCCGGTGCGGATTCTAAACTCCCGGTAGGGCCACCCGTGCAGGAAAGATCGAAGGGTAGGGGCCAGTCAAAGAGTGATTCCCTGGTCCTCCTGGTTAGGGGTTGAGCGTAATGAATTGTATGCTACAGAAACGGAAACCTGTATAGCAGGTGTGGATCAGAGTAAGGCAGGCCGTTCCTCTAGCACAAGAACGAAGCCATTGGGTCAAACCTAACTGGGCACCCAAAGGCCGATCAACCTGCTCCAACAAACAAGGTTCCCCTGTGCCTGCTGCGAGGCTCTCTTGCTTATATATTCAGTGGTGTGCTTATATGGATGCAAAATATAAAGAGTTGATGTGGAAAAAATGTGTTTTCTCCCCGAAATTTCTTGTGTACCGCGGGTTCGGAAACCTACTTAGGTTAATTTTGTCCCAAAAGAAGTTGATTCCTCACGAAAACAATACGCCAGCTTTCCATTAGTGACATTAAAATGCTGCTGCTAACCGGGAAAACCGGATAATTTGAATTTTTTTTTTTTTTACATGATGGACGAAATTCCTGCCATTTTTTTAAAAATTGGAGCCTGGCGGCGCGCGGCCAGAACTCGCGCATGCTAATTGCGTTTTCCCTCTCTGAAATATACACGTGGTTCAATCGAGTTCGACTGAGAATCACATGAGAACACAAGAATTCAGTACAGCTTCTCGATCTAGCATAAATTCATGTTTTTCTATGAAAGTTCCCCTCCCCATTGAAAGGCAGTTTTCTTTTCTTCTGTTCTGTTCTCTTTTCTTTCCTTTTCTTTGCTATTGTTTGTTTCTTTAATTTTTAAATAATTGTTAATAATATTGTATTTTACCTGTGTCCACAATTAGTGCCGTTGGCGCTAGAACGACCAGACACTTCAATAAAGGATATGTGTGTTCCTCTCTCTCTCTTTCTCTCTGTTACTATTCTAATAGATCGAAATTGGCCTACTCTAAATCCGTCCGTGCAATCTATCTCTGACCATGTATGCTTGTAAATGCTTAGTTCTCGACTGCGTTACCTTACACTCCGCATTATGTTGAAGATCAATTGCAGAATAGTGTAAATGACTTGCAAATTTTGTGGGACTAGACTGCAAACAATTTCTTCGTATTTTGTCTCGTTTTTCTCTTCAAATGTTAACATAAAACGTGCGATTTGGGAGGCGTCATAAAGCGCCCATAAACGTGCGCCTCAACCTTATGCGCTCTGCGTCTCGCGCCAGTCTTGCTCGCAATTTTCACGCTAATCCGCTTTGCCTGACGAACCCCAAGATGTTCTGCAGTCTGTTATGCTTTAGGTCATCTTTAAGGCTTTTAATTTCCCCCAACAGGGGAATTGTCAGGCAGGGTGGAATTGATTAATCCATTGGTGGAATTAACCCAGCCTTCAGTGTTCCTAACTACAGATTGCGTTCAAAATTTTACTAGGCAGAATTTTGTACATTAAATTAAAAGTAACGAATGTTTGTTCTTGAATTGTATCCACCAAAGTTTTTCTGTATATTCAAAATACTTAAAATTACTTAAATACCTGCAGTATTGTCTATGTACATGTAAACGCTTTCCGCTGGGCATCTTGGTTCAACAATGATCCTCCAATAACCGTTTTTCTTTTGTCCAATAATCTCTATTATGAAAAGCCTGCTGCCTAAAGAGCTCAGAGTTCTATTTCAATCTTCTGTCTTATCCGTTTGAAATTTTTCATGCGTTCCGCAAATTTGCTTTTCGAGTTTTCTGAAGATACGAGTTCAAAGTAACGAGCATCACTTCGAAAATCTTTCATTTTTCCGACAGCCGAGGTCTTTACAAGCAACATGTCAAAGGGTGTACTTCGCGCATAATACATCATGTAAGCGGGTAACTAAATATTTCCCAAATTTTCATTGTGAATCATTGCGTGAGGTAATGTACCTAAGTCAATATTTTCAAACCTCCCCTCAGGCAATCCAAAAAAACGGAACCGAAAGTGCTGTGCCATTGCCATGAAAACAGTGAAACAGTGGAAAACTGGTCAGTTCACGAAATTTGTGTACAGCATCTGGTAGGTAGTTAATAATTGAGTTCAATCAAGACCTGAAGCAAGGTGTATGCCTTGTAAGTCTGCATAAATACAACAATCAATAGATGTCAATAAAGCCCATTTCTAATTGACCCTTTTGTTCCGAAGGCTTGCTAATAATGTGAGCTGGAATCCGTGTATTGTCGAATTTTTGACGGCTTTTGTACTTTTTTATTGGCTTGGCCGTCAGAAACACGCTTAGTCTTTGACTGCACAAAATTTGGAGCTCCTCCATGCGTTAAGAATGTCAGATTATGATCTTCTTTTCGCCTGAATTTTAAGAAGCAAAACAAACAACTTGTAAAACTTTTCACATCCAAAAAGCGTCGAATGAGTTATTACCCTTAAGCGGAAACACCAGTTTGTGTGAACGTACTAAAACACCTAACACAATACGCAATAAAGCTGTTTTCATTGTTAAACATTTCAGGCTCCTTTCTTCGTATACCAAATTTGCATTTCTTGCTTGGGCAACAAAGCTCCACAAATTTGCGTAAATCCGGCGCTATTGGTCAGCAATGTGTGTTAATTATTTAAGCTGTTAATTGCACCACTTTCGGCTTATGAATGTCTCACGTCACAAAGGCAAGCTTCAATGCACTTCAATGAAATATTAATGTTTTAAAGCATTTTAAGTTGTTGCTTCCTAGCGATGAAACTCTATCTCGTTTACAGTCGTTTGTCCGCTCGGGAATCGCATATTCACGACGACTACGGTGTTTATTTTTAAAAAATAACGAGACCATGAGAGTTTTCGTGCTGTTTGATGGCACAAGATACCTACTAGACGTAGAAGTTGGCCAGACTGTAAGCGATATAAAGAGCATCCTTCGTAAGAAACTCGATTTGGACACGGTACAGAACGAAGATGGCGAGAACGATATGCTTATGGCGATCAACTACGCCGGATCAAACATGGAAGACGACTGGATTTTTACGGATATCAGCATTCCACCTGGCGCGACGCTTCGATGTGAACTGCAAGAAAACGTTAAAACGTACCTCAATGTGATTTGTTCGCATTCGAACGAAACGCTTAGATTTACAGAATGGTTTGACGTGTGGGAGACGACAGTTGGTACTCTAAAAACGATGATCACAGAAAAAACAGGATTACACGTCAGTGTTTTCCGTCTCGTGTCCGCCGAAGGGAAAGAGATGTATGACTGTCATCCGTTGAAGAAATATTCCATCGATTACGGAGACACGGTCCGTTTGGAAACGTGGAATGGCTGGAGCGCGTTTCTGCAATCCTCAACGTTGGGTCAACTCACCCCAACCATGAAACACATGGTAAGCATACACGATGACCCGCTAGTGTTTAAGTATCAACTTCGCGTCGCGTTGTTCATCGCGGCTCATTTCAACTACACTCAACTCGCTGCTCAGTTGATCAAAAGCGGTGCGCGCTGCGACGAGCCCGTCGGCGAGCATCCAGTACGAGAGTGGTGTAACAAGGACGCCGTACACCCCGATCACTTCAAAACCCCAGCTCACGAGGCAGCCCAGCACGGCAGCCTCAACTGCTTGCAGAAGTTCATTCATCATAACTACGCCTGCATCCTCGCCAAGGACGGCAACGGTCTGACACCGTGTAATATCGCACGCAGGTACAAGAAAACCGAGTGTTTTAAGCTGCTTATTGCCGAGCAGTTTCGCTCTCGAAGCACGTCCGGTCTCACACTGGGTATATATTGGCGTGTTAGGAAATGGTGTGAGCGCGCAAGAGATCGAGCTATCGTCTTTCACAAGCATTCACCCAACCCGCTTCTTCTAGCAATGGAAAACAGAACTTATAGGAATGCAGTGGTTGGGCAAAAGGTACAAATTGATGGCTTCGGAGAAAATATGCAGGCTGGCACCTCGAAATTACAGCTTTCGTTGGCACTTAAAAGTGTGAAAAACAAACCGCCGACAGGTGCAGCTCTGACTTCAGCACAGGAAGATAAATATGGTAATTCAGTAACGGGAAGCGGTGAGATTCAGGGTTTAAATAAAAATGGCGAAAAAGACGACAAAGCTGATTCGGGGAACTGTTCAAGTGAATCGAATGAGGAAGCGAACAACGACAAGTCGACTTGTACTAACTGCTTGCTTCCGTCTGTTTCGAAACAACGTTACCATGGCGAAATATCGAAACTTGAAACCACCATGAGGGACAAGTTGCAAATTAAGAATGCGAATCGAGAGCAACGTAGCGCGTTTACGAACCAGTACAAAGCATACAGGTGGAAGGAGCCTTCAGACAAAGGCGAAGAAGAAATCTTGTGTTTTTGCCAGTCGCACAAAGAAAAACAAACGAGCGGCGAATCGCGAAAAGAACTTCGCGAGAGTATGCCACTGATTTCAACAAACACCAGCTTGGTTGGTGTAAACAAAAGCGACAAAAATATAGATATTCAAATTTCCGATGATTTTCAGAGTTCGAATAAACGTGACTTTTTTGTCACGCAAGAAGTCGCGGTGAGTTCGGAAAGGCGAGGCAACAAACCTGAAAACACGAAAAGGGAGGAAACAAATAACGCAGAGAATAAAACCACTGACAAGATACCACCAATTAAACCTCGAGGAGATGATTCGAGTGTCAATCACTTGAGAACAGACGATTATGTTAAAACAAAATCAAAATCCGCCAAGAGTTCAAAAAGCGACGGAGCCCTGGTCTATAAACAACGCCGAAGAACCCGTTCCCTTTACACAACGAAACGTCTTCACAGCGCCAATCAGCGCCGTAGAGCTGCGTCCAGCGAGGATTTGAGCCTGCAGTCAACCCGCTTGTACAGCAGTGTCACTGGACAAGACATGCACGAGGCAGCGAAAGAAAGCATGGGTGTTGCAATGACTTTCAGGAAGAAACGCTGGCTTCAACAAGTTCACATGGCTATCGAGCTGAATAATAACACCTTTAACAGACAACTTCATCGGTACAGAGAAAAATACAAAGCAGCGCACGTCGTGGGAAAATGTAATTTTTAGCTCGGAACAACTGCATTATTTAGGTACGTCTAAAGGCGAAATGCAACTCTGTCTAATTGCTCAAGCTAATATGGTTGACGTACGAATATTCAGCTACTGAAATTTGTTTCGGTGGTCAACTCACCCTAAAAGTTAAAATGTTACTCGTTCTGCACCAAAAGTCTTTAATGTTTCCAATTCATCAACGAATTCTATGACGTATTTCTTTAAGAATTCATGATATTAAAGAATAAAAAAAAATTGAAATATGTTTTGCTATAGCTGCCGAGTTAAAAATTGTTAAAGAGTTTATTTCAGAGCCAATTAATCTTTTAAAAGTTCAGAATGAATAGCAAAAAGTTAAGCTTTCTAAAGGCTTGTCAAAACGGAGTCGTAAGTGCATGGACGTGCGTCACTGTTTGGCCTTAAGACTTACCAACGCAACGAAAATATTTCATTTTTAGTTTTTGTTACTGGATTATTCCAAATACCCCTGGAAAGAAAAACGTGTGTATCATGAAGGTGGATTCGCCGATATAAGCACACTAGTTTTATTTCACAAAACTCAGTTTCTGACGGTATAGTCAATAAATTAGGCTGAAGTTAAACTATTTTTAAGTGTTGCCAATTCATCAATTCAACGAAGTAAAGTTTAAAAATAAAGACATAAACTTGTGTATTTTTGAATATATTAAGTATTTTGTCTTCTTTTGGGAGAGGCTGAAATCGAGACTATTGCAGCTTAGAGTTTATTTTAAGAGAATCAGTTAGATTTTATAAGAAATATATTAAACAGTCTACATTATGTCCACCATTAACATTTGACAGATCTTAACACGAGAACAACTGTGTAGGCGCGAATAAACGAAGGATAAAAACTGTGAACGGAGTGTTTCATTCAAAGGAAAATACACTTTCTAACAATAAAGCTAATGAAGTGAATATAGATTGTCTACGGCTTACCTGATTTGATAACAATCATGTAAATTGCACTGGAAGGAAAGACAGGTGTCTAAAACAAAGAACACATACACTGCCTTTTAATCGTTCTGTTTTTCCATCTGCCCCTTTATTTTCAAGTCGCCAAGTGAGGCCCCGATCACACTGCGCTGGAGAAATTTGAAAACGGAGGTTTCAATCTGAAAGCGCATCAAATGTTTTCCGTCCACACGACGCCGGGGGAATTTCAAAACGTAACAATCACCAGTCATATTGGATTTGTGTGTGAGGAAAACTCGGTCAGAGAAATCGGATGATTATCTTCACTACATCATTTCCGAAAAGCTCCGTTTTCAAAATAATTTCCCCCCTCATGTACACTAAAACGCAAAGCCAGCGATTTCAAATTCCTCCAGTTTGAAGAGCGTTTTCGAAAAGCTCCGATTTTGTGATGGATCAGTGTGGACGGTAGGCCACACTGTAGAAATAAAGCTGCCCCAGCCCTCCTCGCATGAAATTCGCTAGTANGTTCCTGGGATGCCCGTTTCCCCCGCTTTAGTAAGCCTTTTTTAAGCAAACAACCTACAACAGGTGACGAAAACGACAGGACAATCAGGTGAGTACCGTCACTTTCACACAGTGTGACCCCCTTTAAAAAATCCTGGCTACGAGGCAGTGTGAGAGTAAGGTGTCTTGCCCAAGAACACAACACAATGACCCCGGTCAGGGTTCGAACCTGGACCGCTCGATCCGGAGCCTAGCTAGAGTACTAACCAGTTTAACGTTGCTTTTAAATGTCACATTAATTTACAGTGTTCATCATCCGAACATAAATTTTCCGTGAAGGTTTCTAGGTCACGTTTCTAGCTTTTAGAGTTTTTGAAAAATAACATTTGGAGGGTTTGTAAGGAAACGAATGGGTTGAGTTGTCAGAGCTTAGGGCAATTTGAAAAAGTCAAGAACGATTCAAAGTGATGGGATGCAATGTCCTGTGACACTTCGTAACTTCAATTCATTGAATGGACAGAATTAGATGAATTTTTGTGGTATATAAAACGCTGCTTGTAAACCCATGTAAACACGATTTTATTCGAGGTCACGAAAGGTCAAGTACTTTTGGCCTATCTCAGACAATTCAGGCCATTACAAAACACGAATAATGTCTTCTTGTAAAATATAGGTTTCTGTTTCTCACTTTTCTAGGCTAATTTCTTCTAGCGGCACGAAGTTATGACTGTCTTCTTTGCCAAACAACTCGTAAATATTCGAAAGTGAGTGGCATTATCAAAGGTCATCAAAATACAAGCCAAGCGTTATTGATGTATCATCCATAATTTTCTGCAAGCACAGCTAGTGCCGGCGTTTTCTAAATAAAATGTTCTCACCAACATGTTTATCTGCAGAAGGCTCTCATATCTATCATTACAATGCTGAACTGCCAATACACTAAGCTTATCAGAACAGAGTTTTGCAGTTTATCGAAGTTCAGTTTTAAAAATTACAATGCTTGAAGTTTCGATGAACTTACCTTCCGTTGGGAATTATCGTATTTTTAAGACACTTTACTTAAAATGTTTCAGCAAAGGCACCCTCGATCTTCAAGAACAGTCCCACAGATAAAACGGATACAATAAATCAGAAATAAATTGCAACTTTACCTTTGTATCGTGGAATCTTTGAAGACCAAAATTTGTCCGTCCCGCCGAAGCCATGTTTGATCCACGGGCTCGGTACCAGGCGTTACCCGAAGCCATTTGCAGTCACGTGGCCTCCCACAATGCATTTCCAAAAGCTTAACGCGCGGTCGTAGTCTTTGTTTGGTAGAAAAATTGAAAAAACATCTACCCACAGCCGCACCTCCCCCAATTCATCGAGAGAGCGATATCAAACCTTCAGGTCGGCCTTAGTTATTTAATTTATTTAAATTAAATTGACCAAAGCAATGTGGCATAGATCATCTTAAGACTCGTACCGATACCTAGCTAGTCTCCCTCGCAGCCGTTTTTAGCATCGTCACGCAAGGGGAGACTAATAGCTAACTGGTCTTTTAGCAAATCCAGTCTACGAGGAGTGACTGATCATGCATAGCTTGCGGAAGGGATTTTATCACCGGTAGTAACAATATCACAAGTTTTGATGCATGGCGACATGCTAACACTACTTCGTTTGGTGTGGTTTGATAGTTCTTAACAGGAATGTTGGTGGTCGTGACAGCTCGTCCAAAATCCTCAGCGAGTTGACGTGATTGTGTTATTAGGCTCGACGGGGAAGGAATGTGAGCTCCTTTGAACCTCTAACAGCAGCTAGTCATTCCTAGAATTGTGTCCCAAAGGATTTAAGGATCGGGGAATCTCTCTGGTCACTTTTCCACGGATCTGCGAAATCAGCCCCGTGGCTCGCAGGGTATTTTTCAATTGTTTTTGAGCCGCGGTGTGGACATAGCGCGAACAAAGCCTTAGGAACAAATAAATCAGTGATTGATGGAAGTTCGCCATCCGGTTATATTACTAAACTTATATGGGAATTGCTTGCGGGTTTTGCGGGAGCGCAGAGCGTAGGTGAACTCAAGCTAAGCTCCAAGGGACGATCTAATTCAACTAAATATTTCTCCGAGTTCTCTGTCCCAAGCACAGTGAAGTTCTTGTTTCAACGGAAGACAAACATATAGCCTGTTGTTGCTTTTTTTTATTAAATGTACATACACATAATCCAAGAAGTAAGGGAAATTTTACGCTCTAATATGGAATTATATTGAATTGATGGAATATTATATGAACAATTGTTAGCTAAGCTGGTGCACCATTCTTGAACTATGAACATTCGGGGTAATTTATACCTGATGTCTTTTTAAAAGTGTGTTAGGATAATAACTAAAATATTAGGAGCACTATACATTAAACGTGTGAATACATTTGCCCTACCCTACAGTTCAATTCTAATCTTAACTCCGAGACTGATCCGCCTGGCGAAAATTATAATTCAACAAAAATATATTAAATACTGTTTCACTTTCATTAAATTGTGAATAAATATTAAGCCCTGTAACCGCAAGCTCACGTAAGCTTATTACACTAAATGTATATCTTTTAAAAAGATAAAAAAAAAATGCTGATAGTATAAAGAAAAGGTAAAGAAAGCGTTTTCAAAAGTTCCGAGTTTGCGTGAAAAAAAAATTAGGAAACACGATTAATTCAAACGAGATCCGCTACTGAAAAAATGGACAGTACGCCTTGATTTGATTCAAATAAAACAGCTTTCTCGCCTTTGTTTCAGAAATTCTCCATCTGAGCTGTTAATAGAGATTGTGTCTTCGTCAAAAGTCAACGTGACAACCTTGCCCGCTAAAGTTCCAATTTTCTCATCGTATGAACCACTTTCGGACGCGCCGAGAACTTCTCCTGAAATGACTCCAGTCGCGCTATCCGAATCATCATTCGGAGCAACGTCTGCGGTAATTGTAGCTACCTTTTCCCCGTTTGCACAAGACAACACATCTATTGATGCGGTCGCGATCTGCCCGTGCGACGCCGCGTTTCCAGAAACGGCCAAAAGATCGCCCCGGAGGGTGGCTACCTTGTTATTCGATTCATTGTCGACAGAGGTAGAAGTGACGTCGCCTGTGACGAATCCGATTTTGTCGCCGGGTTTGGGCGTGGTCAGGCCGGGTAGACGATACACAGACCCGTGTAAAGTGACAGTTCGTTCACCCTGTGGGTCGTCTAAAGAACCTATTAGAACACTCGCCGTTAAAGTGCATATTCGTTCGTGAATACTGTCACTCTTCACCGCAAAATCGTGATTGGCTGCAGCAACACTGTCTTTCCTGTCGAGCGCAACTGAATCCTTTCTAGAGGCTTCTGCTAGTTGAGAAGATACTGAAGCTTCGACAGGAAATGAGCTCTCTTTTTGTGCGAACGAAGCAGAATCCTCTTGAGAGATTTCTCTTGGCTGAATAGGTTGCGCACCTTCCTGAGTAGCGGGTGATACAGAATCCAGCTCAACAGATCCACGATTTTGACGTGATAAATTCACATCGTTGTCGGAAGGCGCAGAAGAATGCTCACTTGCAGCTATACTGGCCCTCTTGGACTGATCAACTACAGGGTCAATTTCAATCTCTCCCGATATGCTGCCTCCACTAGCAACCCTGTGTTGCGCTATGTCAGTCTCAGCTGGGCCACTATCGATGCCAGAAGTTGCGCTCGCAGTATTAGTCTCATGAAGCGAAGGACCCGTTTCAGTCTCGCCAGATAAGCTGACTTCATTAGCAACCTTGTTTTGCACCAAGTCGTTCTTAGCAGCCGCTACACCAGGCTCGCCACCAACAGAAACGTCCTCTATTTCACTCGGTTTTCCCTCGACAGCTTCACTAGCAACCTTGTTTTGAACCAGATCGGTCCCAGCAGTCCCTACACCAGCCTCGTCACCAAGAGAAACGTCCTCCATTCCACTCGGTTTTCCCTCGACAGCTTCAGGTTTTACATCATTACCATCTGACCCACTTGGACCACCAACCTCGCCCACCGCCGCACCGCTTATCATAACAACAGGCTGTTCCAACTCAGCAGTAGCCTTGTCATTAGGCAAGGGTGCTGCGTCTTCGATAGACTCTTCCTTTCTAGATTGATTTTCCTGCGCGGAACTCCCGCTATTTTCAGGCGCCGTATTTTCAAGCTCGTCAGCGTTTTCCTCGACACGGGGCGCACCGTCTGCAGTACCTCTCTCAGTCTCTTCGTTCGTTTGCTCGTCACTCGCCAAGACTCCACTGCCGTTCGCAGGTTTCCCTTGTGAATCATGAGGGACATGGCCATTGGCTGAGGAAGGCGGCGTCACAACTTTACCCGACTGCTTTGTAGAAGACTCGTCACCTGTGAAGATGAAGCAACAACAACACAAGGTTGTAAACAAAATGTGTACTCAAATCAAGTTAAAATCAAGTCGAGATAAAAATTACAAAAAAAAAAAAATCCCCAAAAAATCAAATCGAGTTGAAATCGAGTAACAACCACTATAATAAAGATGAAATGTTGCCAGGAGCATGGGGCAAAGAAAAACTCAGTCCCCGAAAAGGTTGAAACCCATGGCCTCGCAGATCCCAGTTAAGCACTCTAATCAATGAGGTACAGAGACACTCTTGGTGAGCTACAATGGAGGCCATTTCATCTATTAACTGCTAGGCTTTTTCTGAAATCCTCTGACCAATCAGAGCAAGATTGTATCTCTAATCAGGTTTAACATCAAAACAAAGACGTGCAACTTTTTTCAGCATGTTGTTCACGTTAAGTGCCGCTACAGCGATTACACGCTTTGCTCTTGTAGGATTATCTTTGCAACGCATGAAAAAAATCCACTCTTAAAAGCAGAAACTCTTGGCTACACTATCTGAAAACAATATGAAGTCGTAGATGAATTGGAACAAAGCTCACAGAGTTATCTAATTATCGAGTAATATAGTTGTGTGAAGTTGTGTGAACAGGGATGGCAGTGGCCATAGCTCATTTTCCCGACCCGATTCCGACCCAGTTGAAATTTTTAATCGTAACCGTTTCCGTAAATTTGAAGGGAACAAATCAAGACTACTAGCTTGAGGATTTTATAGAGTAAAAGACTTTTTTAGCCTCTTTGACTTCGCCTTTCCCACAACAACGCACACAAAATTTGACGCGTACTATAAAATTACAAAGGCATGACACATGTTTAACCGTCCAATCAATCAATCAAGCAATCAATCAATCAGTCAGTCAGTCAATCAGTCAGTCAATCCATCGATCAATCAATTAATCAATCAATCAATCAATCAGTCAATCAATCAATCAGTCAATCAATAATCCAGGGCCTGCTGGTATCCAATCAGATTCGAGAATTGTGAACACTAAAGTCGTGATTAAGTCGATAAGACTCTTCCTTAAGGTTTTCCGGAAGCTACACTTCTCAGTTAATCAGCTACAACTTGACAGCAGATAANAACTTTTTTCAGCGTGTTGTTCACGTTAAGTGCCGCTACAGCGATTACAAGCTTTGCTCTTGTAGGATTATCTTTGCAACGCATGAAAAAAATCCACTATTAAAAGCAGAAACTCTTGGCTACACTACCTGAAAACAATATGAAGTCATAGATGAATTGGAACTAAGCTCACAGAGTTATGCAATTATCGAGTAACATAGTTCAATAGTTGTGTGAAGTTGTACGAACAGGGATGGCAGCGGCCATAGCTCATTTTTCCCGACCCGATTCCGACCCAATCGAAATCTTTAACCGTAACCGTTTCCGTAAATTTTAAGGTAACAAAGCAAGACTACTAGCTTGAGGGTTTTATAGAGTTATATTTAACCGCCCAATCGATCCATCAGTCAGTCAGTCAATCCATCAGTCAATCAGTCAGTCAATCCATCGATCAATCAATTAATCAATCAATCAATCAACCAGTCAATCAATCAATCAATCAGTCAATCAATAATCCAGGGTCTACTGGTGTCCAATCAGATTCGAGAACTGTGAACATTAAAGTCGTGATTAAGTCGATATTAAAGACTCTTCCTTAAGGTTTTCCGGAAGCTACACTTCTCAGTTAATCAGCTACAACTTGACAGCAGATAAACTCACCACTTTCCTCGTTCTCTCTAATCCTCCCTGCATGTCCATTGCTCTCTGTAACAGGATGTGACGATAACTTTTGTCTAGAAGATGACTGGCTGGCTGTTGAAATGATAAAGGTAATAAAAACTCTTTCATCTTTAAGAGTGATCCACATCAAATTTCTCCTTACATTGTCATTCAAACAGGTGATGAGAATAGAAAACATTATCAACTTGAGGTACCACCAAATGCATAGCAATCGCAAGGAAAACTGTTTTCTTTTCAACCTTGAACTGAAAGACAAGTGAAATTTTCACGATGTTCTTGCAAGAAAAAGATCTGAAGTATTTCGTTGACTGACTCTTCACTGCCAACCCTGATTGGGTAATACCTGAAAGTGATAGACCAATCTTATCGGACATCACTTCATAAAACTGGGTAGATATGAAATATATGTGTACGAGGGTTTGGAAGTGTTTAACTAAAGTTTCTGCAGCCCATACCCTTCACTCCTTCTTCCTCTACCCTCCCCTCCCAATTCAAGGCTCTGGGGTTTCTCACCCCCCACCCCACCCCCCGCCACACACACACATTACATACACTCCCCCAGGTTACTCTGATGCTGCCAATAGTTCACCACATAACAGTTCACCGGTAGCAATTAATATAACCCCAGGAGGGAATGGGAGGTACTGTCACAGTTAAGTGTCTTGTCCAAGAACAAGACACAAATGACCAGCCCTAGAACTGGGGCTCTCAATCCAAGGGTTAAAATCTATTTAGCGTGAGGTTAGCATAAAACCTCCTGGGGCCAGTTGTTTAAAGGTTGGATAACACTGCTCACTGGATAAATTACTATCCTACGGGTAAGTGTTGGTCAAACAAACTACATACACTGTCCACTGGATAGTGATTTATCCAGTGCATAGTGTTATGCACACTTTAAACAACTGGGACCTGTTAGTTTTGTTGTTCAAAGCTAGCATACAGCTAACCTTTGAATAAACAGCCAGTTAAAGTTAGCTTAATGCTCTTTTGAACAACCAAGCCCAGGTATTCAAGACACCCATCTCTTAGACAGACTGTCTGTAACTTACCATTTTCTTCCTCTTCGTTAATTCTCTTTAATTTGGGAGCTGGCTGTCCAGCTGATGAAAATAATAACAATGAAAGTTAATTGTCTGCATAATATTAATTACCGAGTACAATCTTATGGTGGAACACCTGACAAATCTGGTCCCCATAAAGTAAAAGGGCTTAATTCAGTGCTAAATGAAGCAAGTGGCCCATGCTGGTGGTTATCTTCAGTTTCTATAGCACAAAGTGGCTACAGCATATTTCTACTCTACATCCTGGATGTGATACTAGTCCATCACAGGGTTATTTTATTTTTTTGTTTTTATTTTACAGATTTGCCATGATCAAGGCAGGTGGGCATACAAATCAAGAACACTAAGTCCCTTACTAGGTAAACCCACCACCTAACCATCCCCATTCAATGCTGGGTTAACCCAGCATTCAATTTGCCAGTACAGTCATTTATACACCTGAGTAAAGAGAGGCACTGTGAGAGTAAAATGTTTTTCCTAAGAACACAACACAGTGACCCAGTGGCCAGGACTCCAACCCAGATCAGTGAAGTGGGTGAACCCAGAGTCCAGCACACTAATCTTGAGAGGCCACGGTGCCTCCCACTCCCAGGGGATACATCATATACTCCAAGAAAAAAAAGACCTGTTTTATGACGGTATTTTATGACAAAATACACTGGAGTGCCATATGCAAACATTTACTTTTAATTAGTAATAAAATTAATTTGTTGTTAAATTTTACTTCAAGATGCTAAAGAATTGAAGGAGTAGTGAATCAAAACTGTCTTGTTCGAGAAAATATCCATACCCTTCCCAAGAAAGGCTTTTTGGAACGAACTCCCACCCCACTCCTTTAAAATTTCATTTCTTTCAAATTTTAGGCCAATGACCTTGGTGGTGGGTATAAATGTTCTTAGACTGCGAGCAGTCTCTCTTTTCTTTGAAAACTGTGGGGAAGAATGGATAAACAAGTAAGCGTGTGAGTATGACTGTGAGCGTGACATGCGAGCAGCGAACATGATGCTGCAAGCCGCTGGTAGCACGGGCATCGGAGGACAAGCAAAAAGGGAGACTGCAATGGTTTCATACAACATTTTGAATGCCCAGCACTCTGGTGACCGAGTGATTCTATTGGTCCAACTACGAAGTTATGATGCACATCTGTCAGTAACCTTTATAAGTGACGGGCAGCGCATGCCAAACTCTGTTGTAATGTTTGTCTCCTATGGTGCGACTCCTGCAGTTCATGACATTTGCGCTCTATTTTGAATTTCAATCTTGCAACCTTTTTACTAGTTTTATGCTTCATACTTGTTTTTCAAGGACTGTGGTGTTAGGAGGACTTTAAAGTAGAATAGAGCCGTTTGACCGAGCACTATGGAAATTTTTGAGAGATCATAGGTCTGGTTTCAGCCGCAATCTGTCAAACCATTCATCACATCTTACCGGATATCTGGATA